CATTTGTAGCCAGACCCACTTAGCTTCCATGATGCTACAGCATCAGATGGTGCCATAATGTTCCCTGTGTATCTGAAGTGAATGCTATCTTGGTAAACGCAGGTTTCTCAAACATAAGACTGTTGGTGGATGTATCCTTGCAATGGAGACCTGGGTAGGTGTGGGTTACATGCCCCATAATGGGTGTTTCTAACTGCGGCTTAACTGGGGAAGGAACACAATCAATTACAAAGAATTTCTGTGCAGCATGCTTTGCAAGTGAGGAAGGGTTTGAGCATCTCTTTTGCATCAACTAATTTGCCCTTGCCTTATGGTAGCTTCAGAATGTGATTTGTACATGGATTTCCTCAGTAATTCCTACATGGAATGGAATTATAGCACTATTCTTTATCATTTGACCTTTGGGTTGCAGTTGTTAAGATGGTTTCTTTGGAAGGGTTCCATATAATTTATTTAAATAACATATTATTAAACATTTATTATATGTAATGTGTTATGTACACAGGCCCTTCATTATTGTATAACAGGTCTATGTACAAAGTGCATTAAAACAGCCATTAAAATATATAAAAAAATTTTTTTTGGCTTAAGTGGGAATACTTCTGGGGCACTAGCTTGAAGATTGCAACCAGAAATGTTATTTTAAAAACCACATTTTAAGTGGTGGGAAACCATGTTTTAAAATGAATAGTCCAAGCAGAAGCATTTTCTGAAGGATTTTGTTGAAAGGGGAGAAGAGGACAGTGAAACTAGAATCATGTATGTGAAGAAGTTCACCACCACAAAGATGCTCTGCAGATAGGATGGTCAGGGCAAAGGGAAAGCGGGGAGGGGGGATGCAGGTCATTGAGCAGTTAATGGAAGATGTGGTGCTATTGGTAGTCCAGAGGGAGTTCCTCAGAAGGCTTTGATGGAGAGGATTCTACAGAGAGATTTAGGGGAATCTCTAAATCCCATGGCTTGAAGAGTGTCCTGGGAGGATGCATCGTATATTGTAGCAGGAGACAGGGGACAATGGGGAAAGATACGTTGTGAGCCGCCCCGAGGCTTTGGCGAATGGGGCGGCATAGAAATGTAATAATAATAATAATAATAATAATAATAATAATAATAATAATAATAAGTGACAATGGAGGGGACAAGCGGGGTGGGGGAGGCAACTGTAGATGGCAAGCCAAAAAAAAAACAATGGCGATAAGAGGAGGTTAAGAGAAGTGGAGGTGGGGAACAGTAAGTATATGGATAGATGCAGTGCAGCAGCCTTCCCCAATTTGGTAAGGCTGATTCCCATCAGCTCTAGCCAGGATGGGCAAGGGCCAGATATTCTGAGAGTTATGGTTTGAAACCTCTGGAGGGCACCAGGTTGGGGCAGGTTGCAGTACAAGTATCAGTGAAGCATTTGGGCCCGTGGCTAGAATTTTTGCCCCAGGCTTGAGAAGTGGAATGCCTGATAATTCTTTCCCCTTCTCCATTTTGAATATTACAGTGGTGTTGCTTCATGGGCAACTTTCCAGGATCAGGAAGATAAATATGTAATTTTAATTACATTAAATATGCTTGTTTGGGTTATTCTATAAAAAGATTTGCTTTTAAGGTGATAAGATGTGATATATGAGAGAATTATAGCTTCCATATAGTCTGAAGTACCTTCTACCTAATCCTGGAAGCTAAGCAGGATTGGCCTGGTTGAAATTTGGATGGGGGACTTAATGTTGTGAACTCTGCAAAGAGCTTCAGCTATGGGCAGTATATAAATGTAATTAATAATAATAATTCTTACTAGAATAATCTAGACATTGGATTCTCTCTTCTGTCAAGTAAATTATGTGGACAATTCATAACAGTTTATTTGGAACTCTTGAGATCTGTCCAAATCTTTTACTAAGTAGTGAATTTCCACAGTGGCTTGTATAATTTTTGTGTGCTTATTGGACAAAGAAAACCAGCAACAAAGAGCAGCATTTATACATTGTTTATAAGCATAGGTCAAAATGCAGCTAAAGGTCATACGAAGAGAATAAACTTTATTAACTGGAAAACTTAGTCTGTGATCTGATATTACTAGGTAATATCAATTAAGAGTTGTCCTCCACCAAAAAAGAAAGAGAAGACCTTGTATAAATTTTATCTAATTTAATTTACATATAAACACAATTACAGATTGGAAGCAGGGGTGGTTTATTTTTAGATGATAAGCATGCAAGCAAACTAGTGCTGTTTAGAAGAAGAATTGAGAAGTGCACCTCCAAAAGAATATTGTTGGGCTAGAAAAGGTACAGAAAAGGGCATTCCAAAAGATCAATTTACCTGGAGCAACTTGCCTGTAAGTGAAGGGTACCCTGTTTGGGGCTGTTTAGAAAAAGTGTAAGGAAGGGGAAACATGATAAAGTTGTGCATAGCATAGAGAAAATAAGGTATGCCTCTTCCGTGCCCCCACTCCATGTAATGTTAGAGTCAGGAATCATCAGTGTGGCCAAGTAGTGGAGAAGCAGGATAGATACAGGGAAGTCCATCACAACACATAGGTAGACCCTGAAACTCTGTTCCTCAAGCTTAGATTGGGCAAATTCGTGGATCATAAGGCTATCAAGGGCTGCTAGTCATAATTGCTAGTCATGGGAGGCACATGCCTATGAAGGCTGGTACCTGAAGAACAGTAAAGGAATGGGCCGCTGTCCTGTCTTGTGTGGGGACTTGCCATAGGCATCTGATTGGCTGCCGTGGGAAGCAGAATCCTAATAAGCCTGTGATCTGATACAGTGGGCGCTTAAGTTATTAGAATATCATTGCACTTGCCAGGAGTCACTGAGGGTCGTTCACTGCCTTCCTTTTTATGCTATCTGTGCCAGCAATCAGTAGGTTGAGGTTGTTCCTCCTTTGATTGCTTCCCTGACTTGCAAAATCTCATTTGATTTCCTCCTCAGATTTTCCACACTTACCCACTAAAGCTCCTGATAAATGTTTTTTTCTAACTCTCCTCTCTCTGTTTCTCTGTGCGGGTGCTTGTATCACCCTTGGGGAGGCAGGGTAAGCTAGTCTAGTAGCTTGTTGATAAAGATCCTTCTGCTTTGGTTAGAGGTCACACTGGGACAATTCTTAGATGCCTGCATGTGGCTGTACTCACAGGAAGGATGCCTCTCTTGCTCGGCTGCAACTGTAGAAGGAACACTACAATACTGAGTGTGTTGTTTATTTTTAATTAACCACGTTCAACACTGAATCTGTTCCTATGTACTGCTATTTTATTTCATGTTTTAATCCTGTTTTTAAGCAATAAGCATTTAGATTAATGCAAAGTCAGTAAGGTACATAAGGTATTTGTAAGTCAAATACATGCTGCCTTAGGTAATTAGCTTAGTCGTGCTTTAAAAAGGCTGGAGATTTCCTTTGCTTGTAAGAATTACTTCCTGGGTGCATCACAGACGGGTGGTAACTCTGTTCAGAAGCTGTGAACTGCAGTCTCAATTGCTGAGGACAGCAAGGGGAAGGGCAGTAGTTGCACAGCAGAACACATGCTTTGCACGCAAAGATGCCCCGGTTCAATCCTGCCTTTCTGGGTAGGGCTGGGAAAGACTCCTGTGTGGAACCTTGGAGAGCTGCGGCCAGTCCCTGGACGTCATGCTAAGCTAGAACAACTGATGGTCTGACTTGCAGCTTCCTGTGTTCTTATGAAGCAGTATCGCCTTTGTCTCCAGCTTTTGGGGTTTCCAAAGTGCCTCTCCAGGTATTGGGCTGGACTGCTGGATGGATGTTGATACTGAAATCCTGCCCTTCCTTGCAAAGCATCCAGGGCAACCCCTATAAAAGCAATAGGACAAACACTGTTGAAATCATAACTAAAATTACCAGTATGTAAAACAGTCATCACTGCAACATGAAAAAACAGATAAAACACCTTCCTGTACTGCCTTGTACAAATAAATATGGTTGTAATTTAAAGACAACGGTGTGGGGAAACAGCCACATTTACAGTTAGGAGGAAGTTCTGCAGTTGGGGTGCCACCACTCAGAAGGCTCTCCAAGAAAACACAGCCTAAGAATTCCACAAGCAAAACCTACTGGATGAGCTCCTCTTGAGCATTGGGTCCATGAAGGGGATCCTTGCACAGAAAAAGACAGTAAAGATACCCTAATGGCCCTATATCCAGCGGGAAAGGGAAACTAATGCCCATACTAATGCCCTGAGCAGGGTGTGACATTCCACAGTTGAGCATTCTTGGATGCATAGCATTCTACAGGTGTGGACCTCTACCTAACATCCATGCTCAATGTATAGACATGGTAGGGTGGGAGACACGTCCCTCCCTGCCTCCCAGTATGTGCCCCCCTGCCGACAGATATAACTCTTGGAAGAGGCTGTGGATGTTAGTGTGATCCAGGGAGGTGATTCTTAGGCTGTGTTTTCTTCTTGTCTTTTTCTTAATTCCTCCCAGCAGTCCCCTGTTCTAAGTCTTTCTGTGCCTAAATTATTTTGAGTAAGGGCTGACTAAGAAAGTGAACATGTGTCTTTGAAAGGTGGCATGCCTAGTAATGTAACGTTCTTCAGAATGAAAATGCCTGTTAAAAAAAAAATAACCCCTGCTCCATTTTGTTTGGCTAAATAAGTAATGGAAAGCACTTAAATATAGCTCTCAAAAATAATAGCTTCCTATTTGACATGCATACACACATTAATTTTCTATATTCATTTTAAGAAAGCAAGAAGCACATATGAACTAACACCTTCGCAATTTATAGTAAGGACAAGACATTTGAAATGACAAATATAACCCCGAATCCGAGCACAATGTTTCCATTGCAAAGGTTCAGTTTGGCAGATTTGCAGCTGCCTAGAAGAAAACAGGATCCTTAAAATGGAGCCAGTGGAACCGAGTCTTTAAATCCTGAAACATTATTGATTCCCTCATGCTAGAAGAGAAGAATGTTCCAGTTGTGGAATATGTTTTAATTATAACCTTTCCTCCTTTATAGTTTAACTTTTTATTTATTTTTTAATGCAGGGAATGAAATATCTCTGCATCCCTGCTGCAGATTCGCCCTCTCAGAATTTGTAAGTATTTAAAAACAAGGACCACTCTTCACAGATGGATGACAAACCCCAGTCCTGTTTGGTGACAGGAGAAGGTCTCTGAACTGAGTATGCAGATGCATTTGATTCCTTGACTATATGAATTTGCTTCTTACAAACTACAGATACCCATGCCAGACAGCCGTGTTGACGGCTGTAGGTTGGTAGAACCAGTGTGGTGTAGCTGCTTAGAGTAGGACCTGGGAGCTTCTAGTCCCCTCTTAGCCATGAGGCTCAGGGCATGATTTGGGGTCAATAACTATCTCACAGAGTTGTTGTGAGGATAAAATGGAGAGGAGGAGGGTCATGCAAGATACCTTGGGTTCATTGCAGGGAAAAGGCAGGTTATAAATATAATAAATACAAATAGTGCATAATAAGAAAACGTCCAGCTCAAACCATGAAGATCTGGGTTCAAATCTCTTGTCCTTGCCACCAGCCTTCCTGGGTAGCCTCAGACATGTTGATTTTTAATTGCCCAATCTCGTAAGAAGGTTGTTGTGGGAGAAAAAATGAAGAAATCCCATGTAACAGAGATGTTAAAGCCCTTTCTGCTCAAGGGCTGAAGTCTTATTCAAAGAAACCCTTGGAGGCCACTTTCCAATAATGAGTATGGCTGAAGACAAAAGAGGCAGTGCAGGATAAGCATATCTTAGGAATACTTCGGCTTAAAGCTCAGATTTAACAGATATATAATGGATTTAGGAGAAGCATTTCAAACTTTTAGTATGATAAGAAAAGCTGCCCAAAAAGTGGAAAACCACCAAACAATTAGCAGATGGATGTCACAGGAAGAGCTAGAGGCCAGATCAGAACTCAAGATGGGCCAGGCTTGGCTGAGGTTCTCATATAAACTACCCTAGTCTTCTTGAGGTAAGCATGATGAATCCACAAATAAGATTTGTGAGCCCTGGAGATGGCTACAGTAGTGCTTGAGCACAAATGGTGACCTGCAAGCCAAATGTAACCATATAAGTTGGGTCTGCCAAATGTTCAGTAACCAACCAACCAGCCAGCCAGTGAAGACTAGGATGCAATGTGAGTAGATGGGGGAAAAGGCAGTAGCTTTAAAGGAGGCATGGTTAGACACTTGCCAAGGGCTCCACCGCAGCAGGAACCCACTGAAATTACTCCTCTGCTTCTCCCTTGTAACCTGCTTGTTCATCCACAGCTCACTCTAGCCCAGATAATGAGAAGGAGAAGCAGTTGATGTTGCTGCCTGCTTGCTCAGTGGCTCTTGTCCTGTCAAGCATGTAAGTGGTAGAAGGATGCGAAAGAGAAGGACTAATAGCAGGTGGTGAAACCTTCAGGAGAAGGTAAACTCGCTGTGGGAGGCTGTTTGTTGAGGGTATCTTGTCCCTCAAGCTTAGATGCAGCACAAGGTTGGGGTGGTCAGAATCCTAGTAGACCCCAGTATATCTGGCTAGTGGCTCCTCACTTGGGTAGGCCTATCCAGGAAGGCCTTTTGCTGAATCCTTCAAGGCAAGAGTGTTCACGCTCTCTTGCATCTGAAAGGCAACTGCATCAACTTTGCAAGAATACTTGGACGGGAGCCCAGTTTTTCTTCTAGGCTTCACTGTTTGTAGTTACCAGAGTTGCAGAGGGAGGAAGGGGGGTGGGATTCAGCCACTTCCTGATAATTTGTTTTACAGAGAAACAAAAGTAGTTTCAAAGGGCCTGCCTGGTGTCTATGGAAGGAAACAGCACAGCCTTTTCTTTCAGGTCAGAGCACTGCCTCTTTGGCCTGATGCTTTCGAGAGATATTTTTAGTATATTTGCTTCTCTCGGAGTGCAGAAAGTTCCCAGCATTGTACAAATGAATCAGTTGATTACTTCGGTTGGTTCAGAATATTGCTCTGCAGTGGTCTTTTACCTCCTTCTTTTCCCCATCAGGTTTGTGTACAAGGCTTTCTAAAGTATTAACAGAACTGGAGTAGCAAGAAAGGAATATACTTGCTATACCCTGTGGGTAAATGCCTGCATCCAAAGATATTTACTTATTATTACATGTTGGTCTTCCCCTTTTCTGTCCTACAAAGGGAACCCAAGATGATTTGCATGGTTATCCTTATTAGAAGCCTGTTTGGTAGGTTAGGCTGAGAGTTGGTGACAGGCCCGAAGTCATCCAGTGAGCTCTATGGTTGAATGGGAACTATAACCTGTATGCCCCAGATCCCAGTCCAACCATTTTTATTTATTTATTAAAACATTTTTATGCCGCCCCATTCGCTGAAGCCTCGGGGCGGCTTACAATAATGGGCTTAACCATCACACCATCCATATGCACATGGAACCCTTTTCTTTTGTCTCTGCTTGTAGTTTTCAAGGGTCTATAGTACTTGTACAGTACAGTCCTGACAGCAGGGCACATTACACCATAAACCTCGCAGTCAATACTCTGCTGCAGGGTGTCGGGAACATCTTGCATAGCACCCTGAGACCATTGGCAAGAAAGTCTTACCTAGCCAGAAGGCAGGCACTCACCACCTTTGTGCCACAGGATGATGTGTCTTGACCCACAAGACACAGTCATTGAGCACATCCTCCAATTTCTATTCACGCTCTTCCAAAAAGGGGCCAAAGCCCTCCCCTCTCTGCTCAGGGCCTAGCAGCCTGGGTCACAAACACCATCTCCCCAGCCTATGAACTGGCCAGTCTATAAGCCTTGGCCCATCCAAGAGCCCATTCCACATGAACAATGGCAACATCCATGACCCTCCTCATCAGAATTCCTTTGCAGGGCAGCTACATGGGCCACATCTTCGACATTTATCAAGTCCTACAGGCTAGATGTCCGGACAATGGCAGACTGCCCATTTGGCAAAGCAGTCCTCTCCATAACTTTCTGGTGACAGCACCATCTCACCTTCCGCCCCAGGGTGAGCTTGGTAGTTGCTCATATGTGTGATGCATAGAAACCACAAAGATGAAAGTAAAGTTGCTTACCTGTAACTCATTCTTTGAGAGGTCATCTGTGCATTCACACAAGCCACCCACTGGTCCCACTTGGTACTGTACTGTACTGTACTATAGAATTGAGTGAACAGGTGGGAGCCCCTCCCATGGATTGAAGGAACAGGAAGGGAAGGGGCTTCTGTCCAAACTGGCACTTAGCTTGTCGAATCCTCCCAACAACAGGCTTCACGCAGGCGCAGAGCCTATGTGTGTGATTGCACAGATGGCCACCTGAAGAATGACAGTTCCAAGTAAGTACTGACCTTTTCAAGAATTCAGACGATGCACAGCCCTGATGTTGTGTGTCTTGGTTACTAAGGAAATAGTTATGTGTATTTATAAGACAATATCTGGAATGTCTTTTCAAACCTCTAAATTTCAAAAGACAAATTAAGTAATTTCTTAATCCACAATCCTGTCACCTTGTATTTTACTATACTGGAGCTCTCCTTTCTCTTTTCTTTTTTCAGGGCCAGGCACTTCAAAGAAAGCATTGAATTTATCCATGAGTGCCGGCTTAGAGGTGAGAGCTGTCTTGTTCACTGGTACGTATTCTAAATTGGAATACTCCTATTTTCTTTATGGAAATTATTGGTCTAAAGGAAGGAACTGTGACAAAACACTAGACTCTCAAATGGGCCTGTTGAGGGTTCCTCAACAATCAGACATGTCCTTTTCTGGAATGCTCTGGCTCATTTCCCCCACTCTAGTATTGTTCTTTTAAAGCTTCTGCAAGCCTTGGGCTTCTCCACAGCCTGCTGATAATTTCCCTTTTGTGGGTAGATGGCTATGTTAGCAATCCACAGCCCTTCTAAAGTTCAGGAATAGAGGGAAAGCAATGAGATGAGATGGAGGGAAACATCCCTCTCCCTTAGCCTGTGCTCATGAGCCAAGCACAGGCCAGAACACAGAAAAGTTGTGCCTGAATAGGTTGCTGTGCAACCGGGAAATAAATGCTTGTTTCTTCCTTGCTACTCCCAGCCATGAGCTTGCCTCCATGTGAAGGTGCTCTGTGCAGCCTGGAAGTTTAGCTGCACATGGTTCCACATCTTAAGGAGCACATGTGCCACTGTACAGGCCCACTGTGCACCAGTGAAGAGTGCTAGCAGGAATAGTCGCACTTTACTCTCCACATGTTTAAGCACAGAAGGAAATTCCACATGGCCTAGTTACCCCTTAAAAGCTCATCGCGTTATGTGTGTGTTCTGGGAATTTTACCAGACATTTTCCTAATTTGCAAAGTAGGTTAAGAGTAGTTTAAGTTTAAATTGGATAATTTTTGATGTTTCACAATTGTTTGGTTAGCATTTTATTTTACTTTTTTGTATACAACAAAGCTTTTAATAAGCATTTGACCTGAAACATTGAGAGTGGGATTAAATTATAAAAGTTAATTTACATTTAATGTGATTTCAATGTTATATAGACCTTTTATCAAATAATTCTAAAAATTATGATAACATATAATTCCCAGATGTACAACAAATGTACTGAAACTGTTGACAGTCTCATAAATGTTATGAATCCAAAGAACTGCATAACAATTTGACAACTTGAAACTGCAAGTTGCATAATACTGTATCTGCAATTGGCATTGTTGCTAATGGAGTTGTGAAATGGACAGTTTCCCTTGGAGAAATGTATATTATGAGCAGGATCCAATGAGGTGCTATAACCCCCACCACTTCCTTTCGAATAGAAGTTGGGTTGTAAGGGGTCTGTAGGGCCATGAAGTCCAACCCCCTGCTCCATTTCCACATGTGGTCACCCATCAGGCTTCAGGCTCACCCCTTTCCAGCTTTGCAAAGGTGACTGAACATGCTCACTCGATGCTTTCCAACCTACCAATTCCCTTCTGTAAGCTGTAGGTCCCACCAATTCGGTTGCACAAGCAGGACACACTATTTACAGAAGGGCTATGATACTATGAACAGAAATTCATCTTTAACTTAACTCTGAATCTCCAATGCAGTTTATAACAATTTTGTCCAATTCTCTCTTCTGGATCTTTTTTGCTGCCAAAGCAAATAAAGTAACTTTATGTGTCACATATCTATTAATATCACTTAAAAGGAAAATATCTGTTTCTGGCAAGACATTCTTGTGTCCATATGATAGCAAGGGTTTCAAGAATCTCTCGAGTTAGTGTATACAGGACAGATTAACATGTAATGAATGATGTCTTCAACTGGATATAAATCACAAACACATTATCTGCATTCAAAAGACACCTTGTTATATCACCCATTAAAAACTGTGGTTAGTATAACTTAAAATCACAGCTCAAGAAAGGTGTTTTTTTTAAAGAGGATGGTCTCAGTCTGGACAGATAGCTAGCTCCATAATGTTCTGTTTTCAAAAGGGAAATCCACTGAGCGTTTTTAATCAATTCCAGGTCCTTTCCAGAATCTATCCAAAGTAACTAATCTCTTAATTGTCTCTTCTCCAGAGGAAAGATGGTATTCAAATCAGAAATATATTAGCTATATGCCAAATTATGGAGCATTGACTTCCAGATATAGTTTTCATTCATTTCCAAATGGCCCAAAGCTGAGAAGAAGAGCAACTGGTTTATGATACTGCAATTGAGCACAGTCTATTCTTGGCCTGAAGTTTTCAAAAGAAGCTGTTTTGTACTATTTCCAAAAGATGTTTGGTAGTGCTGTCAGTCCCCCAAATTTCAGTCCTATGAATAATTTGTATGATCATTTTGTATAACCTTCAGGGTAGGTTCAATCAGCTGCCCACCTTCGCTATAACAAAACTTATTAATGCTGCAATGATTTTCTGTGCCTTCAATTTTACACCCATCCTATGCTCTTTCCATGAGACCGACTCATTAAAAAGGATGCCTAAACATCTAAATGAATGAGTTGTTCAATAACATGTTGGCCCAGGTGCCATCTGCACCTAGGTCTATGACTGCCAAAAACAATAATGTGAGCCGTCCCGAGGCTATGTAGCAAGGGGACGGCTTATAAAAACTTTAAATAAATAAATAAATAAATAAAATAATCTTAGTCTTACAGTAATTTATTGACAAGTCATGTTTACCTCTTAGAAGATTCCTCAAGCCCAAGAGAAGAGAATTAATACTAAATCATCAGCATACATCAATATATATTTTTTCTGTTTATAATTCCTGGAAAAGGAGAATTTACTTGTGCTAGGCATGGCACCAATTATTGACATAAATATTAAAAAGAGTGGGGGCTAAGAGACACCCTTGTTTTATTTCCTGAGTTGCTACAGCATGTAAAATAGCAGAAGAGCCCTACTGGATCACACCAAGGACTGCCTAGTCCAGCATTCCATTCATTCAGTGGCCAGCCAGTTGCCCCCAGAATACCCCCCAGCAGGGCATGAGTCCAACAGCACCATTCCAGCCAGGTTCTTCAGCAGCTGATGCATGCTGTTGTTGGAGTAAGCGTGGAACCATCAGAACTATAGTCTTATCCAACCCAGTTGTAACAAAATTAGCATTTACTAATAAAGTTAGGTGCAGAAGCAAAGAGCATTATTCCTATTTGAGAGACCATGATAAGAAATGGATGAGTCTGGATTCTAATTACCTGGTAAATCTGTAAATCATGAATTCCGGTCCCTGTGCTTTAGCAATTTGTCAGAGCCAAAAGCATTACATTCCTTTCCTGTGACTGACGTCTTGGCATACTTTGAAATGGTTGCATTCCTAATTCATTACACTCCTGGATATTATAGTAGACAGATGTTATTCTCCATCTGGATTACCGTCATCTTTTATATAAGAACCTGGACCATTACAGAGAGTAGAGTTTAATCTAAGAACTGGTATTTCAGTAACTGCCTCTGGCTAGCAGGTAGCATCCATGAGTAGAATTCCTGGCTTTGAAACTTGCAGATTCTTGCATTATATTTTGTGTTGTTTGTTTTTTTGCTTTTTCCCTGCTAAATAGAAGTGTTTGGGGTAGCTTGCAACTAATTGTGACCTTTCTGCTTGCCTTTGGGTGGTGATGTAGCCTTGCTGGAGTTTCCAGGAGTGCAACTTTGGTTGTGGCCTATGTAATGACAATCACTGCATTTGGCTGGGAGGATGCACTCTCTGTGGTGCGAGCATCGCGATCATGTGCCAATCCGAATGCAGGCTTCCAGCGGCAGCTAGAAGAGTTTGAGAAAAATGATGTTGCTCATGTAAGTTCCTTGATGTCTCCAAGCTGTGCAATGAATTCTTACTTCTGTGAGGTTTGCTTTTGCTTGCTTTGAAGTAGAAACAGTTCTGCATGAAAGGAAATGGGAGCTTTAAACCCCAGGTCAAGCAGCAGATTGATGCCTTCAAGCTACATGATAAAGTTAAATATGTAGCATTGAGCTTAACCTCTCTTTTTATTTGCAAGTAAACACACAGGGCCTGATCCTGATTGAGACCACCATGACATGAGTTAGGGAAGTCTGTCGGTCTGTCTGTCAAACACACTCTCTCACACACACCCCTCAGCTGCTTTCAGTCTAAACTTGTATCCTCTCAGCAGGGGCTAAAATAAGAACTGAAGATACTCTGGAGCAGGTGTCCCCAATCTTTTTGTGTCAGTAACTAACTACATTTGGAATTTTCCAGGAGTACTGTGGACACTGTTACAAAATGGCTACAATAGTTGGTGCTTGTCTGTTCAGAAAATGGCTGCCACAGTGAGCATGGCCAGCCACATTCATTTCCCAGGAGACAAAAAGAGATACCTTGTGCAAAGACAATGCAGAGGCAGTGTTTTGGGCTCCAAGTAAAAATGAGGTTGGAGGTCAGGATTTCACTTTGCTGCAGGTCAATCTCCCAGTTATTTCAATTTTTTAAACAATCCAATTTTCAAAAAGGTCAGAAGGAGTCTGGTGAATACCTAGTGATGTGTCTGCAGCACATCATGGTGGTGACTCCAGCCCAGGAGATTTCTGTTAACTGCAATACTTTTCCTGAGTTGAAGTGCTCACAGCATTTAAAAAAGAACCGAAGGCATCAATGTATCCCTTTCAGCAACCTTTGTGAGAAGCCAGTATATATGAATGAATTTTCTTTATCAGAATTTTCTGTTTCTTCCCTGGTCATTCTGTGCCTCTTATTAGCCTCCTGCACTGCCACTTTGCCAAGCTTTTCAGCATCTGAACTTTGAATGTTCTTGAAACCATATTTTGAAAGTGAAGCTGTGAAGTATATAGTTTCTTTTCCATTCATCAGTACATTTTGAGTAGCTCGATATATCTGGGCTGAGCTCAACACTGGACCGAGACTAAGTCATTCTTTAAGGAGACTTATTGACATCCAATGGGACTTAAGTTAATCATAACTTATTTTAAGTCCCACTGATATTAGTGGGTCTACTCTAAGTATGACTAAATCTTGGATCTGTTCTAATGTTTATTCCTTGGTCTTGCTTGTTTGAAAAAGAGAAAAAATGGGTTTTGTTAGGATTTGCTTAGGATTTGCTGAAGCCCCTGCTGTAATTTTCAATCCTAATTATTTATTTCTCAAAAGCTTACTATTCCTCAGCTTAATGCAACCAAAGGCAAATGGGAATATAACTGACTTTACTTAATAGAGAATGGGGGGAATTTCCAGTCTGGTTGTCTCCTTTCTTAATTTGAACCCCAACAGTCATTTCAGATCTGACTGGTCTGAGTTAAAACAGCAGATTGTCTTTATTTCAATGCAAATGGTTTTTAGGAAGAACATTGTGTGTGTGTGTGTGTGTGTGTGTGTGTGTGTGTGTGTTGGGGGGTGGTCGATTAATTCCTTGTGGAAGGACAGTCTTTGCAGCTTTCATAGAAAGGCATTTATTAACTTTTGAAAGGATACTTTAGCACAGCCTTCCCCAACCTGGTACCCTCCACTTGTGTTGAACTGTACTTCCCATTATCTTCAGTCTGCATGGCCAGTGGCTTGGGATAGTAGTAGTTGTAGTCCAAAACATCTGGAGGGCCTTTAGGTTGGGAGAGACTGAACCAGATGGATACACAGTCTAGCTGCCATCCTCAGCCACTGCAGATTTGAGCAGCTGCATAAAAGTTTCTTTTGCTTGTCATTTGCTTTTCCCTTAGTATTTTCTAGGCTCAGTGCTTTTTTCCTTTACTCCATGAAGTTCTCCTACAGCCCCTGAAAAAGTGGCAAAAGGGAGCCTACTTCAAGCAAAGTGACTTCTCTCTCTCATCTGTATTTAGCTCTTTCAGAAGTAGTTTCCCTTTTATATTATTTTTTTTCCTTCAAAGGATGTGCACTATCCCTTCCTGGTCCCATGAAGGAAGTTATTTCCTGTTAGTTTTATTTAAAGGACATACAGTGAGGCTCGTATCTGCCTCCCACAACAAACAAGCTGCTATTACTGCAGATTGGGGTATTCTTCTAGAGAAACAGCTGTAAGGGAGAAGCTGCTGCCTTCACTCTTAATGCTGACCAGTACAAGCCCTTTCTAGTCAGCACTATACCATTCTGTTAGGATATTTCCATCTAATTTATACTTATATAAAACAGGCTGTAGTCTGTTATTTGTGAGCTAACTGTATGAACCTATAAAGCTGCCCTTGCACCAAATCAGACAGGCTGTTGGTCCATCTGGCTTGGTGGTGCCAGTCCTGAAAGCTCTCCGATGTTCAGGCAGGGGATCTTCTTAGCCCTACCTGCAGTTGCTAGGGATTAAAACCATCAGCAAGAAAGTCTCTGAATTACGCTCTCCTCTGACTGAGTGGGCTCACTTTCAGCGGAACATGTATAGTCAAACAGTGAGCGCTGTGTATTAAATTTTAAACTGCACCTAGTAGACCAGCCTTTTTCACTTAGATGCTTTCTCCGGGCCATAATTGAAGGTTTTCAGGATTGACCTGCTTGAGTGTGGCTCCTCCTCCTCCATTTTGCATTCAAATATGATGTTGCCGTTTCATAATATGCCCTCCAGTTTCACACTGAGTTGGGGTTGGGTAATGTGCAGGCTTAATATGAATAAAGATAAAGCGGAAACAACTGATGAGTTCTTACAATGTTCTTTCAAAACAAGAAACAGAACAAGACCAAGGTTATCAGCTAAGTAAAAAGTTAACAAGTTGATTAGGCATAATTCTAAGAAAGAATGAAAGTACTTTGTATACAAAGTCACTGCGTGTAGTGCTTAGAGTGTTGAACTGAGGCTGGGGAGACCAGTTCAAGTCCTTACTTAGGCATGAAGCTCACTCAGAGAGCTTTGAGCCAGTCACTGGGCCTCTTTGCATAGTCACAGAGAGGAAAATAAGTTCTGACTTAGGGACTGTAGACTATTCACTGACTCTCAGCCTAACCTACCTTACAGGGGTGTTGTAGTGATAAAATAGAGAGAAGCAGGATTTAAGTAAGCTTCCTGGTAAATTTTTCTTGCAGGAAAACAGCAGGACTTAAACATAAGTAAATTAAAATGACCCCTTAATCCCCTGCTGCATGTGTTGGGGTGAATTTCAGAATTACTCGCATTGGCGCAACCTGCTGTGTTGGGTGAACCCACCTTGGGTGGCTTGTTTTCATAATTAACAAGTCACTCAGACCTTGCTCACAATAATCTACCCTGGCTTGCTTGTTTAACAACCCACTTTCCCTGGGTTCACACAATATAGCAACTTGTGTTCCCACCAGCACCCCAAGCATGTGTACCAATGGAAATAAGCCACTGTGGGTTATTTCTCCCTCTGCAGTTGTGTAGTATCTTTCAGCCCGCACAGGCCTGTTGCGAGCATCTATCAGGCCTCTGCGGGAGGAGGAAATGCTAACTGGAGAGAGTATGTGGTATAAACTGAAGAAACAACGAACCAATCTTTATAAGAAGTTATTTAGGATAAGCTCCCAAATTGAATGCTGGAATGGCTATATTTCAGCTGTTAATGTAGGCATTTCCCTGCAGGTAGTTTTTTTTTTTTTTCTTTCTTTCAGACTTTACAGTAGGAAAAAGAAGATTCTCAGTTAAAATCTTAGCATATGTCAATTAATATATTAAGAAAAATCCAAGACTTAAAGAAGCCAAATTATAGTAAGGACTAAAGAGTGGTGACAGTATTACCAAATATTAAGCTTTTTTTACTGTGTGAAGAACATTCAGTAGTTATTATGATAGGTGCATAACTTAAAGAAGATTAGAATGACTGAACAGTCACAAAGTTTCTTTAATTTATAATTTATGGACAAAATTGAAAACAGAGTTTAAACAAGGAAACCAATATCTTGTAGTGATAAAGTTAAGCCTATGGGACAAATATAAAAATTGGAGCAATATTGCAAATTATTTATGATTTTGAATTGAATCCCAGTAGAGCTTTAAGAAAATTAAGAAGATTTATGGAAGAAATGCAGTCTTCATAGAGACGTAGCAAAAACTACAACTGGCTAAATCACTTTGAAATATTTTTTTAATATATTTCAGAAAAAAGCCAATACTGACTTGGTTTTTATATAAAAATATAAATACCATATAAAATACCATTTGAGTTACATGTTCCATCATAAAGCAGAGCAAGTAAAATACGTCATGATGACCTGGGCATAAAAATTAGACTGCCTAATAAATGTTGATGTTGGAAAGGTAGGGGGAAAATATCTGGAAGTACAGTATTGATTTTTCAACCAGTACTGAGAAACCTATTATGAAATCATGACTACATGCTACACAACGGGACATTCGGAAAGGCACCAAAGCAACCTTCACACTAAGCCCTTCAGAGATTAGATGTCCTGCAGCAGTTTAATTCACAAAAATTTAAGACATAGTAAATTTAAGACCTGAAGAATGTGATCCTATGCATCTTTAGACAGATGAAAGTGCTACAGTTTCCATCATTCCCCCACCAGCAACCATCCTGGCTGGAGAATGCTGGAGGTTGTAGGGTGTTTTTCTGCCTATGTATGCATAGGATTGCATTGCAGTTACAAGATACTTTGCTGCTTCAGTCCTTCAGCTTTTCAGAGATTACATTCCATTATCTCTTGTGTTTGTATGAAGACTGGGCCAAGACATTTTGCTGCCTGAGCAAAATGACAGTGACTGGCTACCCCTGTCGCCACACGCCTTTGCATGCACACATATGCAAACACACACATCAAGATACATAGAACGCCAGGGTGGTCACACTATCTTTTTGCACCTAAGACGGAACATTGCAAATAATGCCTCTTATTTTCATAGCAGTAAATACAGAGTGGAGCAACGCGTATGGAATAGGCTTTCCACGGAGGTCTGCCTGGTGCTGGCGTTGCTAGCATTTTGGTGCCAGGCAAAGACTGGTCCAGTTATTTAAGCAATGAATTTTAACGGTTACTGGTTTTAAAACTGACCCCATGATTGCTTTTAGTAGATTCTATTTACATTGTTTTATTTAATGTTTTATATTATATTTTCATTTCGATATATTATCTTTTATATTTGGATTAATATATGTTAATATGTCTTGAATATGTGGATTTAATAATGATTTTAGAATGTTGTGTTGTGTTTATACTGTGAGCTGTGCAGAGAGCCCAGGTATGGGCCATTGTAGTGGCATATACATCCATTAAATAAATAAATTTGTGCTCCAGTATGATAAACTAAACTCTGGTGATGGTGTGATTAAAACTTTTAATTATACTCTAGTTCCTTAAATGTTAATGTCTGAGTATTATTCTGATGTTTGGAAGTCTGTTCTTAGGTTTTACAGTTAAGGAAAAAACCCTTGGATACAGCCTGTCTCTCTCTCTCTCTCTCGCTCTCTTTTGCTAATTTAGAATTAATAAAGGTGAAACTCTATGAAATGTTTAGGAACAAGTTCTAAAACTCCCACCCTTCCCCAGCCAACAAAGAAGGAGATATAAGAGTTTTTAATGTAAATACATGTAGGATTAAACCCCAAGGAAACTTCTGTTTGCGGCCATGACTTTTCTTCCCTCTTTTCTGATTTAAATTACATGGTCTCAATTCCTAGATTTACTTGGTTGATTAGATTTATTGATGTGGCTGTCTGTATTTTGTCTTTTTGAAGCTAGTTCAAAATGGGGTAAAGAGTACGTACAAGAAGGTGGGCCACCTCGATTGTACCATAGGATTTATTTTTTAACCACAGAGAACAAACTGTTTTGTTTTCACTGACATCTCAACTGAATCCCAGGGGATTTCTGAAGTAGCATATTATATAGGGAAAATTGTCACCTTTTTTTATTTTGGGGGCAGGATGCCTGGACCTTTCAGTGGTAACATGACAGACTCTATAAACTCAGGCTGCAATCCTGTACACGCTTATCTGAGAGTAAAACCCACTGAAATCATTGGAACTTGCTTCTGTGCAGACATGCATAAGATTGCACTGTTATTAAACTTATTGTTAAAGATTCAGTAAGTCTGCCAGGAAGAATAAAAGCAAATGAAAAAAGAGGCTATTTCACTGACTTCTTTTCCCGAAGAGTGAGCAGATGCAATGAAGCTCAAGTTTCCTGCAATAGAAGGGGAATATTAATATGTGCCTATTTTCATTCATGCACGAGCAGCATTCATTCCATCTTCTAAACTACTACCAGCAGGGTATGAAGCCTTCCTTCCTTTTATATCTGAATATTGAAAGGTGGGCATCAGCTGCCCATGCCTAAATCTCAGCTCTTCATGCAGGGAATTTTTCAAAGTGTACTGGAGAACATAAATTTAGCAGCCTCACATGTAACACCTGGAGATGCAGAGAGTTAATATTTAGTCAGAAGTAACTATTGAGTTCAGTAATGTTTACTCTTTGATGTGCAAAGGATTGTATCCTAAATCTGCATAAAAGCCACTGCATAGCTCAGCAGAAATTTTACTGAACTGGTTTATTATTTGTCCCCCGCCGTCCAAATTTGTTCCCATTGCAGACCTGTTTAAATACTAGCTTCCAGGGTAAAAGCAAGCAACTAATATACTATTCCCCCCCCCCCCCCCGCTGCTTTGCTGAAAAAGAAAGGCTCCTTTAGTTTTAATGGCAGGAGCAGCAATACAGGCCTCAGAGTAACTTAGACCAGGGCTTTCCCTCTCCTTTCAAATATACCAAATAAGTTTTACTTTCTAGAGCAGCTGTTCTTTTGAACTGCCCCAACTGCTGTTTTTTTTGAGAGCCTGTTCTGATGCAGTAACAGAACAATTGTGAGCATCCAAGGGCTGATCTGCCTGCAGCTCAGATCCATTCCTGGCTCCACTCGTCCAGGAAGAGCTTGGCGGCTCCTGCACCACTACTGGAGCCACGACTTCCCAGGCATCCCTCTCCTCTCCACCGGACAGAAGGAGAAAACAAGGAGCTTGAGTATGGCTTTCTTGACAGCAGACACCTCAGCATAGCACCTGGGCAGCCTGTCTCACTGCACCCAAAGACGGAGCTGGTCCAAGTGTGTGTATGTGAGATGCTGATTTTTATTTGCCAGGACTGTTGCCCTTAAGAAAAAGACAGAAAAACTTAAGGCCCACAATATGCCAATGGAGTAAGCATGCATACATTTGCATTTGCTGAGATTTGTTTTTTTTTTTTAAAGTAACTGGGGTTGAAAGCAACCCCAACATGAAGTTGTTGGGGTGTAACTCACATCCCTGTTAGCATGACCAATGGTCAAGGATGACTGGATTTGTAGTCCAGTGACATCTGGACATTCTACATTCCTCACACACTTTTAAAAATGAACTCACAGGGTGTTGCAGATGGCATCCTGGGGGAAGAGCATTCTCTCACCTCTCCTTGTCACAGGTGATAATTTCTCTCTTAAGATGCTCATTTGCCCTGCAGGTTTTATATGACCAAGGGCTTCATGGCAGAGTCCAGTCTTTGCATGCCAAAGGCTGCAGGTTTCTGGGATTTTCGGATAAATCTGGGAGAACTTCTGCCCCAGTCATGGGGATATGTAGCCAATGGTCTGACTGGGTAGAAGGCAGCTTCCTATGCCAGTTCTGTTGTTGCTGTTTTCATAACACCTGGATTTTTTAAAGAAACCTTTTTTTCTTTCTGGAAATATCTAGCCAGATTGAATGCACGGGGAAAGAGGGGAGCTTTTTAGCCAGTCACACTATTGTTAATAGATTATGAGACAGTGCTCCAAGCTCAGAGCTGGAAATTCCCAATCCATTCTCCCTTAAAAGGATGCACTCAATTGAAATTGAAATTAAAACTGATTTTAATAAGAGTGATTAGAGATTCATTCAACTTAACTCATTGTTGCAGTTTGACTGTATCAACCTTGTTATGTAAACTAGACTTGTCTTGGCTATGACTAAACATTTTGCTTTGTCTTTTCTGCCCTTTTCTTTTAAAAAAAAACTTTTCAGTTCAGAGAGTGGCTTAGAGCAACATATGGAGAAAGCCCTTTGCAAGATGAACAAGAAGCCCAAAATCTTCTGCAGAAGTACAAAGCACATGCAGCAGCTCAGTCGAGTGCTTCAGGAAGGCAGTGGGATGATAACTTTACTTCTGTTGCCTCCCTGTCAATGTCTGCTCCGCCATAAGGATGCACAATGTGGTGTTCCTTTGATGAACACAAGAATATATAACTTTATAGTGGCTGCATTCAGACTTCGTACCATATCATGACTGGGATGTGTCTTGAGGAGCTTATGCTTCCTGTGTTCCTACCCTCCCTGCTGGCAGAGCCATGAAAGATCAATCAAGTATAGTGCCACGACTGATTCCTAAAGTGTGGTTAATCCTAACTATGCTTTGTTTGAACCAATCCAGCTTCACAATTCATGGTTTGAAGCTGGATTATTTCAGACAAACTATGGGCAAGGTTGACCACAGTTTGAGTTGATATAACAAGCCATGGTTAATAAGAGATGGAAGTGGAAGCTTCTGTACTCCTTGTGGCTATGCTGGAGATGGGAACATGTTACCCAAAGACTCATGTAAGCTATTTCCCATCACAATAAGCCTTAGCTTACTGTGATGTCCTAATGCAGCCACTGATTCAGCAGTGCAACTTGCTTTTACCTCCTGCGCATGCACTAAGAGAACATGTTTTGTCTTGTAATGGCTCCATACGGGAATGCCTTGATTCTCTTAGTAAGCATGTCTCTCAGGATTTGAGGAGCAGGACACCAGACTTCTGAACCTAGTGTCATACTCACAGTTACCCAGGCTTTTCTGTGGAGGTACCAAGACCTGCATTCTCTTCCAATTGGTGTGTGAAAAGCATGCCACTTTCTGACTGTTGAGATGCCAAATTATTTTCTACATATGCCTGGTCCTCAGGCTGACCACTTAGCCAGGGTTTGGCACAGCTGCACTTTTCAAAATTTCTGATTTTCAGGGGTGGAGTGGGTGGGCGGGCAGGTGGGTGGGTGGGCATTCAGTTCTGTATAGAAGGGGAATGTGCACACCAAACAGAAAAAACTTGCATTGAGTGGAGCTCTGGTTTCACTGCAGCTAATCATGTATCCAAAGAGGCAAGCTACTGAGCAATGTAAAAAGAAATTTCTCTCTTCAGCAGTAGAAAAACTGTACTTCTCACATGTATGCTCTTCTTTAAATGACTTTTTAAAAACTTTGTTCTTGGAAAGTATGGCTACCATAGTTCTGTATCTTATTCAAGAGTAGACCACAAGTATTACAGATAACTCTATCAGTATTTATTGTACTGGCTTTCATTTCAGAGATGTTGCTCAGTCAGATTATTTTTATGGGTGTGAAATAGAGGGATAACAAGTGTATCATAGAGGTATGTATTTAATGACTAAAATAGTGTTATAATGGATTTTGTGCTATAATGTTAAAAAAGTTACTTTTGCACTACTACTGGGGAAAAATGTTTTCTTGTATGCTAATCATCTTGATGATATTTCACCTTTGATTGGCTTCCCCAGTGGAATAAATTCAATCAAAATTTCAGGTCTTTTTTATAAATAAAAAGTACACTGTTTATGTTGTTGCATTTGCTGATTAAAATAGATGTGATTGACACCCATTGTTTGTGATGTTGTTGAATAATCAACCTGAACAGAATACTTTGAGCCCGCATCCAAGCCTGGATAAATACACATTAGGCAAACTGACCTGTGAGAGGTGCCTTGTGCACTAGGGAACACCTGCCCTCCCGGCTCATCCTGGCAGTTGCAAATGCTCCACTGAAATCCAGGAGGTGGTGGGAGCCCCTTCTAGAGATCAGTAAGACTAGAATTTCTTTGACGTATTTTTGTACATACATCGTCTGGGTTCACATGATGCAGCAACCGTGCTCAGGGAACTGGCCGGGGCGGGATTTGTGCCATTGCCTGAAAAGCGCTTTTCACAAGTAGTTTCCTTTAGGGCAACAAGTCACCCTGACATCCTGTAGCTTCTTCCAGGGGCTCTTGGACCCATCATGTGCTGCCATGTCAGCCAAACCAGCAAAGCAATGGGGTACGGGTATCGTCTACACTTCACTGCTTTCATGGCCTTGCCTGTGCTGCCATAAGTGACAGCCCTTCACGGATGCCCAAGCGGCACTTTGGGGTGATTGTCACTGGTTCACCACCATTAAAGTTTTTTTACTTGTCCCCAGAAATGTCTTTGGGGTTAAGAATTTGTGATAGTTGTTGGGTTTTTTTCTTTTTCTTTTTGCAGTTACACAAATGGAAAGCTATTTAAAAATTATTTTTATTTGTAAAACAAGTTTAGATTCATATATAGCTCAGCATAGACCTCTTTTCTCTATGTATTCAAAAGGAAATTATAACATTTTTGCCATGGAGCAAATATTAGAAGTTCAGTTCACATTGAGAGAGCGAGAGCAAAGTAATCAACAGAAGAAAAGACTCAAACCAGTTTCCCAAAGTCTGCAAGCAAGCCATATAATTCAGTAACTTCAGCATCCTATCCAAGTCTGTTCCTTGTTAGGCCACTGGAGTGTCTTAGCCTGAAACTGAAGGAAGTCTTTTATGTTCATTATATTGGACCACAGACTTTGCACTGAAGTTCCAGTGGCCTAACAGCTGCTGGTGAAAGCTGCATTTTCCACAGGAGCAGGATGAAAGGAATGGGCAAGAATAGGACTGTTGGAGGTTGTTTGAAACCCAAAGAAATAGATGATTTGGCCCAGTCTGGGACAGATTAAGAGCACCCACTGACTGTAGTACAAAACATTTGCCCAACTGCAGGTAACCTGTAAATTCTCCATTGAATCACAACATTCCTGCTAGAAATCCACCTAGCTCATGTACAAGGTTTAAAGTATAAACTAACTGAAAACCTACCAAATCTCCTGCCTCAAAATACAGTCATTGTGCTTGAGGCCATGCTTGCAAAGGGAATGATCAACAGGAGATGGATGTTTTGTGTGCTGCCACTATTAGAGCAGGGTTAAAAGATTGCAAAAGCAGCCTTGGTACTGCTGGAGTTCTGAGAATGGGCACTTTCTGCCCTGTTCCATGTAACATGGGTCTACAAACATTCAAGTGTTGCCATCTCCTCCCTTGCTGGTTATCTGCAGAAAGTTTCTACTTGCCACATAAATAATTTTACCATGACTTGGTGACCGGGAAATGCTTCTGTTGGAGGGTTGCATTGAGATCTGTTGAGCATTTACATTCTCAGACTGACTTTTAAGAGAACAGTTTTTAATCTTCAGGAGTGGGATGTTAAATTTCATGCTGCATTGTTCCAGGGCTGTCACCAGTTGCTGAAGACAAACACAAAGATTAATGTAATCTTTTGTGCAACAAAACATTTGAACTAACTCATCTGGAAATTAGAGCTGTGCAGTCACATGCACAAGGACCATTACATCACAAAAATGTGAAAATTAAATTGAGTCAATAGTCTGTGGCAATAGGTTTTGGTTCAAAGACAAGTGCAAGTTCAAGTAGTAAAAGCACTAAGTAGGAAGCACCACTGAAAAACATGTTCGGGGTGATGAAAAGTTCAAAGAGCTACCTGGCCACACAAACCAGCATGACTTCCTATATATAATCAAGGATTATGTTGCAGCAGCAAAGTGCTTGTGGGCTTGGCAATGAGAGATGCAGAAGATGTCATTTAATTCCTGCAACAGCACAAATGAATTATTCAAGAAAACATCCTCAGGCAAGCAGCCCAACAGTTGCATCATGTTTTGGTAGTGTTTTGTGTAGTTACTGGCTTGGCACAATTCTTCTCTGCCTATTAACTGAAACAACTGGAATGGAGCAAATGTTTGTAGTCCATTTTGATGAAATTAGCAATAAGGTGATTCCAAAGGGTCAAATGATCTAGTAGTTCATTTTGAGGATAAATGCCGCTTGAAAGTTTTTGTGCAATTCCTGATGAGCACATTTTTCCAAGCAGCTATTGTTGAAGGTCTTCAGAAATTTTGAGGTGTGTCTCCTTTTGTTGTTGTTAGTCGCGAAGTCGTGTTCGACCCATTGCAACCCCATGGACAACATTCCTCCAGGCCTTCCTGTCCTCCACCATCCCCCAGAGTCCACTCAAGCTCACACCAACTGCTTCAGTGACTCCATCTAGCCACCTCATTCTCTGCCGTCCCCTTCTTCTTTTGCCATCTGTTGTTCCCAGCACTAGACTCTTCTCCAGGGAATCCTGCCTTCTTATTAGGTGGCCAAAGTATTTGAGTTTCATCTTCAGTATCTGACCTTCTAAAGAGCAGTCAGGGTTGATCTCCTCTAGGACTGACCAGTTTGATTGCCTTGCTGTCCAAGGGACTCGCAGGAGTCTCTGCCAGCAGCACAATTCAAAGGCCTCAATTCTTCAGCGCTCAGCCTTCCTTATGGTCTAGCTTTCACAGCCATACATTGCAACTGGGAAAACAATAGCCTTGATTATACGCATATTTGTTGGCAGGGTGATGTCTCTGCTTTTTAGTATGCTGTCTAGATTTGCCATAGCTTTCCTCCCCAGGATCAAGTGTCTTTTAATTTTTGGCTGCAGTCCCCATCTGCAGTGATCTTGGAGCCCAGGAAAATAAAATCTGTCACTACCTCCATTTCATCCCCATCTATTTGCCAGGAAGTGAAAGGACTGGATGCCATGATCTTAGTTTTCTTAATGTTGCATTGCAAGCCAACTTTTGCACTCTCCTCCTTCACCCACATCAAGAGGCTCTTTAGTTCCTCTTCACTTTCTGCCGTGAGAGTGGTATCATCTGCATATCTGAGGTTATTGATATTTCTCCCAGCAATCTTAATTCCAACTGGTGATTCATCTAGGCTCGCCTTTCTCATGATATGCTCTGCATATAAGTTAAATAGGTAGGGCAACAGTATACAGCCTTGCCAAACTCCTTTCTCAAATTTGAACCAATCAGTGGTTCCGTGTCCAGTTCTCACTGTTGCTTCTTGACCCGCATGTAGGTTTCTCAAGAGACAAATAAGATGGTCAGGTACTCTCATCTCTTTAAGAACTTGCCACAATTGGTTGTGATCCACACAATCAAAGGCTTTAGCATAGTCAATGAAGTAGAAGCAGATGTTTCTCTGGAACTCCCTAGCTTTCTCCATGATCCAGTGCATGTTGGCAATTTGATCTTTAGTTCCTCTCCCTCTTCGAAATCCTGCCTGTACTTCTGGTAGTTCTTGGTCCACATACTGCTGGAGCCTAGCTTGTAGGATTTTGAGCATCACTTTGCTAGCATGTGGAATGAGTGCAATGGTGTGGTAGTTTGAACATTCTTTGGCATTGCCCTTCTTTGGGATAGGAATGTAAACTGACATTTTCCAATCCTGTGGCCACTGTTGAGTTTTCCAAATTTGCTGGCATATTGAGTATAGCACTTTTACTGCATCGTCTTTTAAGATTTTGAATAGCTCAGCTGGAATACTGTCACCTCCACTAGTTTTGTTGTTGCTCAGACTTCCTAAGGCCCATTTGACTTCACATTCCAGGATGTCTGGCTTGATGTCAGTGACCACCCCATCATGGTTATCAGGGATGTTAAGCTCTTTCTTGTATAGTTCTTCTGTGTAATCTTGCCACCTCTTCTTAGTCCTCTGTTAGGTCCCTGCCATTTTAGTCCTTTATCATGCCCATATTTGCATGAAATGTTCCCTTCATATCTCCAATTTTCTTGAAGAGATCTCTGGTCCTCCCTATTCTATTGTTTTCTTCTATTTCTTTGCACTGTTCATTTACGAAGGCCTTCTTATCCCTTCCAGCTATTCACTGGAATTCTGCATTCAATTGGGTGTATCTTTCTTTTTCTCCCTTGCCTTTTGCTTCCCTTCTTTCCTCAGCTATTTGTAAAGCTTCCTCAGACAGCCATTTTGCTTTCTTGCATTTCTTTTTCTTTGGGATGGTTTTAGTTGCTATCTCTTGTACAATGTTGCAAACCTCCATCCATGGTTCTTCAGGCACTCTGTCTATCAGATCTAATTCCTTTAATCTGTTTGTCACCTCTACTGTATATTCATCAGGGATATGATTTAGGTCATACCTGAGTGGCCTAGTGCTTTTCCCTACTTTCTTCAATTTAAGCCTAAATTTTGCAACAAGAAGTTCATGATCTGAGCCAAAGTCAGCTCTTGGTCTAGTTTTTACTGACTGTATAGAGCTTCTCCATCTTTGGCTGCAGAGCACATAGTCAATCTGATTTCTGTGTTGACTGTCTGGTGATGTCCATGTGTGCAGTCATCTCTTGGGTTGTTGGAAAAGAGTGTTTGCTATGACCATCGTATTCTCTTGACAAAATTCTACCAGCCTGTGCCCAGCTTCATTTTGTGCTCCAAGGCCAAATTTGCCCGTTATTCCGGTTTTCTTTTGACTTCCTTCTTTAGAATTCCAATCCCCCATGATGATAAGGACATCATTTCTGGTGTTAATTCTAGAAGGTGTTGTAGGTCTTCATAGAACTGGTCAACTTCAGCCTCTTCAGCACCAGTGGTTGGGGCATAGACTTGGACTACTGTGATGTTGAATGGTTTGCCATGGATTCGAACTGAGATCATTCTGTCATTTTGGAGATTGTATCCCAGTACTGCTTTTCCTA